ACGGCCGAAGGTGAAACCCGCGAGCCGTCGTAGTCTCGCAGTCGGCGCGAGACCGCGCTACTGGAAGGGTCGGTGTGTTGTCATATATGTGAATGTACGCAAACGCCTCTCTCAGATTCTCTCTTTCCACCGCACTCACCTTATATTCACCTCACTCGCACGAGAATACCGACAACGACAAACAAAACCATTAGACGACAGAGTATAGGAGAAAACGCGCGAGGAAAGAAGAGACGAAGTTGGCTGCGTGTCGCGAACCACCCCTTCCCGCTCGCCGAGTGACCGAAGCAGAGAAACAGTTTTTTTTCTCATCTCGTACGTAGAGGAGAGACGACCGCGTTCGCAAACCGCGTCCAAAAGTTAAGTACACGCGATCGAAATTTTCATATCCATTTACAGCGTCGCTGTACGACAATTTACACAGTACGATATCAACACGGTGAGCCAGGGGTGTGATCTTAGAGAAGAGAAGTTACACGATCGGTTGGATACCGACGGACCGAAGAAGTCTGTGATCTCGATGTGCCTGGTTGTATATTGTTTACGAAACGTATCGGTTCGTAGCGTGTTTATGCGCAGCTCACGAACAGAACTGGGAAGAAGTGCGTTCGCAGGAACGTGTGTGTTTACCGAGCAAAGGATACGCTTTTGACGACTTTGATCGTCGATCAACGAGGAACTTTTCCTCTTTAAAATCGTAGTGCCATTTTGTTTAATGAAATTAAAGTAGTGAGAGACAGAAAAACGAGTGTCGTGCCGCTGTATTACCGTTTAGATAGGAAAACGAAAAAGGAAAGATAACAGGGGCGCAGCGTGGATTGTGTGTGATATTCCATCTACGATCGATCATCGTAGTATTACTGGTGTTGATTGTTGTTCGATAGTCGTCTATATCTACCGCCCGAGTTGTGTTAACGACCGTGTAAAGAAACTCGTTGCGACGGCTCGGAGACGATCGCTACTGTGATAACGAACGATATTCGTTTTGAAATTATGTTCAGTGCCTGCCTCTGTGATCCGTGACATTACTACCGTCGGAAGTATACCTCGAAACCGTCGACTAGATCACCACGTTTAAGTGTCAGAACAGAAGGAGTTGAATTTTGAAAGCATCGGATGCGCGGGAGCCTTTAACGATCACCGGGTAAGCCATAAAGGGCGAATTTCTTTTACATCGTTACGTTGACATTGTGCGCCGCGCCGGCCACGAGATACACGCGTTATCTATCAGTCGAGTGACTATGTGACAGAGTTATATGATCATCGTTAAATCTGTACAACGTAATTACCGATACGAATCGTTCGTATTTATCAAATTTCCGATGAGAGGTTCGCGTCGCACATCTCCGTCGATTTATATCTTCCGATTCTCGAAAGTAAACAATTCGATCAGTTACTTCTAACGAATGTCACTTTTACAAGCAATAAAGTTATGTAAGTTTTTCATATACATTATGTACTTATGTAAAGTTGAATGATTATTTCACCTTTTGTGTGTAACCTCACTTGTTGTTCGTGAAATCATTTCCAGCGTTGTTTTTCGCTATCCTTTATGGGTATATCGAACACCAGTAAAGTAACGATCCAAGGAGAATAAATTTCACGTAAAAAACGTTGTGGAAGCGATACGATAACCAATAATTGATATCAAAGCCGCTTTTTCTCACCCTCGACGACAATGTCGGGCACATTTATAATCCGTGTCACACAACTCTCCTCTCATCGTCACGTGCGAGGGCGGTTTAATGCCACGCGTCGAGCTCGTTGAAGCGTCGCGGCGCTAAGCGTCGGAAGTAGAGCGGATGCGCGTATTACGGCAGACGCGCGTGAACATCTCTTTTCACGCACGACCTTTTCCGTCCTATAACGTCGCAACGAATTTATAAGCTCGTTTAATTTTATCATCGACAGATCAAAACTTCTCGCGACTCACGTTCCGAGGTGACTATGTATTTTTTTTTTTTTCTCTCTCGTGGAAGTTTCACGTGGTCATGGAACCGTGGATCTTTCGTTCGTTCGTTCGTTTGCTTGCCTTTTTTCCACCGCTAGCCTGTTTACACTTGTGCACTCGTGCATGCGTGTACGTGTCGATGAAAAAGTTTTTTTGTCGCGGGTTAACCATCTTCGGGCGTAGGTAGCAGCGTCACGTGCGAGGGTGGCTTAATATCGGAAGTGGAGCGAACACGCGCGTTAGCCCAGCCACGTAGAACGATCTGCTACGACCAATCTCTTTTACGCGTGTCCCTTCACGGCTCGTGACTCTGATGCGCGTGCTAAGCGTGACGCGCGCGTGCTAATCCTTTGTGTCGATGTTGCCAACGTGCGAGCATTTCGCTAAATATTGCCTTGTTTAAGAAATTCACGTGCGTAAAAGAATTATTCCATGCTCTTCTATATATAATACACATATGTATAACATCTCTATTCCGATTTTATCGCACCAACGATACTATTTTATCTTTTCTACGTTCGATATTACATCGGGTAGATTGAATTCACTCAGTAACTGATTCACGCATATAACATACAGTCTAGGATAAGAAATATATCTACTCATTTCTACGATTGACGTTAGTAATCGCATTAAAGCCCATCACGTGAAAGAAAATCGCCGATGGTGACGTATTCATCGGCTTGGAGTGTAATCAAAGTTTATTCACGCGTGCTGCGGCCAATGGAACGCAAATCGTGCGAACCGTAGGCTCTATTGTCTTAATCGGACCTGTGTACACCGATAAGCGACGAAGTCCAGCGTTTCTCTTTCGGCGGGTGAAAAAGCGAGACGGTATACCAGGTGTCAGGTGTCACGGCTGTCCGGTTTCGTTTGCAAACACGCCGAACAACAAGAACGTTTCTTGTCGATCCTTCTCGAGTGCTTCTTTCCAGGTGGTTCCTCGAACGGCGGTAGTGCCGCTGCGAGAAAATATTGTTTTTGCTCGTCGACTTCGTAAACCGCTCTCGAACCCTGTTTATTTTTTTTTTCTTTTTTTTTTTTTCAATTCACAATTCAATACAAGCTAACTTGCGCGAACTCGTTGATCATTAATACCGACGAAGAGCTATTATTACAGTTTACGCCGGGGAACATATGCGCGACAGTGTTTTTTGTGCGCCACGTTACTGCAATGTGCATAGTTGATCCGTGCGACAGGCGTGCACAACACGATTGTATAGCATAGGTATATTCCATCGATCTAATGGTCTAATTGTCCGCTCGAAGTGGGCCTCCTCGCCTCTTCGTCTCCCTCGTGGGTCTTAGCTAGGTTAGAGAAACGTGTCGCTCGCTGTTTCCTGACAATTGCGCAATTTCTTCGAGGACCGATCTTCTCGAGAGGTCGCCACGGTGTAAAAAGGATCGCGGAGCGCCGCCC